CTCTGTACAGTTTTATTTGTGTTAACCCCTGTTACGGGTGAGGGTCTCATTGCCTGGTTTAAAGGACTCCTCCCAGAGTTGCAAGCTTGGGGCAGGGTGGTAGCCTTCGCTCTTGGCTGTTTGTGCCTTCAGTGTATGGTTTCTCTGTCGGCTACGGAGGCGAAACAAAGAGCTATTGTGCTATGGCGGTCAGGCAAGTACTTGGCGCCATGGTACTTGACCAGGACTCCCCAGTGGCACCCGGATGGGTCAACTTAGCCCTAGAGAACCTGAAAGCCAAAGACGGGTAAGAGCGTAGCCCGTCCAGACCAACCTAAGACAGCGGTCCGGACCAAGTGCGCCGGATTAGCGATGACGGGTAAGGCTGGTTATGGGATGCGCCAACCTAAGACAGGCCAGGTGTCTCATTTAAAAGAAAAAAGGGGGAGATGTCCGGAGCCGCCTGGAGCATGCGCCATGTTGCACATGTGCTCGATGAATTAGGTTTCGATTTACTGTTTCGCCTTCGGAGAAACCCCTGCGTTCTCCTGTAAATCACGCGAGACTGAGAGGTACGATGGGAGGAGCAACCGGGGTATAAGAAGGGAAGAGAGAGAGAGAGAGAGAGAGAGAGAGAGAGAGAGAGAGAGAGAGAGAGAGAGAAAGAGAGAAGAGAGACTGTGAGGAGACTGTGAGGAGACTGTGAGGAGACTGTGAGGAGACTGTGAGAAGGAGATATGGCGAGGGGTACTGCGAGAGGAGCAGAGAGAAGGCCAGGGAAGTAAGAAAGACAGGGAAAAGTAAAAGAAAGGTAAAGGAACAATAAAGAAGCAAACGCTAGCGTCAAGTTGTCTCAAGCCCCTCATTTCGATCCTCAGCCCTTCTCTTTTCGTGCCTCCGAATCCCGCGGGTCAGGACAAACTCCACCCTCAGGTCCCAGCAACCCTCCCTTTGGTGATGATGGGATTTGTCTTCCTCAATGTCTTGATGGCTTTGGTCTGGAGTGGGGGTGGAGTCCACAAAGCCTGTATGGAATTAGCTCAGGACATCCTTTCCCCCTAACAAAACAATTTAAGTTTTCTAAGTTAAGTTTGATATATCAATTTATCAAAGTTCTTTTCTAATACACTTTTATATAAGGATGTTTCCAATATGAATGGAAACTCAAATCCTTAAATGTTAGAGTAAATGGCCATTTTAATCATTTTTAAAACCTCCAGGCCCCAAGACTGGAACCATTTTAAAGACAAGCATAGAAAATTCAAATTATTTCACAAAGACCTGGTTTCTGTTAGACCTCACAGATTAGGCCTCTTCCTAGTGATGGAAGATAAGAATAAGAAAACTGGAAAGGAGACACAGGGTCGAGAACCCAACTCACACAAGGAGGGGATTAGAGTAAGCCATTAACCCAGTTATAGAAACCAAGACCCTTAGGGGCCTCCCTGGTGGTACAGCGGTTGAGCGCTGGGCTGCAAAGCTGCCCGCAGCCTCTGCAGTGCCATTGGAGCGCAGACCTCTCCTGCCACGCCTGCTGCTCCCCTCAGCAGTGTACCTGGGTCCTTCTGCCTGTTCTGCTCCTCGCTCTGCCTCTTGTGAATTCTCTCACCCTCCCGCGTGCTTCTGACTGTACCCACTGCTTGTATAAATAAATAAATATATCTTTAAAAAAAAAAAAACCAAGACCCTTAGGCATCAACACCCAGGTCAGGATGCACAACACCCAGAAACTATGAGACTGCCATAGGGAGTGTCAGGGGCACAGACCATCTACCCACAAAGATGAGCCCCTCCCTGAAGATGATAAAACCTAATGCTGCCCCCACCACAGGGCAGCAGTTTCTCTGCCCACCTGTAACTATGCAGGTGCTTCCTTTCACCCATTCTTCCTCTGCATGGGAGCAGCCTCCTTGCCTGCCCGTGACCTGTACCAGCCGGAACTTCTCCTCACTGACCTCCCTCAGCGGAGGCCGCTCTCCTCAAGGCTGCCCGCCTGCAACCATGAATTCCTCTCTCAGCAAACCTGTCCCTTCTGGGGCAGCTCTTCCTGCCCGCTTGTGTCTATGCAAGTGTCCTTTACTCTTCTGTCCCTTTTCTAATAAACCTGCTCTTTATTTTTCTTTAACATTATTTTTTTATTTTTTACATCATTGTTCATTTTTAAACAATATTTGCTTCCCCCTCCCTCAGGTTGAGTTCCCATAGAATTACCTTCCCCAATGCACCCGTGCACCATCACCTCAGTCCCCTGTGCTCCTCCCTCCTCCCCTCCTTCTCCCCTGAAGGATGCCTCTGATTTATGATTGTCTGTTTTTGCTTTGCTGTGTTTTGTACTGTTATTTTTTTTACACTGATGTCTTACTGGGTTCCCCTAAATTCCTATTATAAGTGAAACCATATGGTATTTTTCTTTTTCCTTCTGGCTTATTTCACTGATTTCACTGGCTTTATTTCACTGGCTTATTTCACTTATTTCACTCAACTAATTCCTTCTAGCTCCATCCACGTTACTGCAATTGGCATGAGTTTATCTTTTTTTGATTACTGAATAATACTGTGTATATATGCCACATCTTGTTTTTGGGCATTTGTGTTGTTTCCAGGTTTTACCCATTGTAAATAGTGCTGCAATAAACATAAAAGGGTACAGGTGTTCTTTTGAATCAATGTTTTTGTGTCCTTTGGGTAGATCCCTAGGAGTGTAAAACTGCTCTTTAAATGTAACTAATGTCTCTGTCTCCTGGAGAAACTCACCTGGAAACTCGCCAAGTGCTGCTGAAAGGGGAGCTCTGGTGAATCTTTCCCAGAGTGAACCCAAGGACCCTGCACTCCAAACTCACTGACTCCAAAAACGACATCATCAGGAAAGGCAAAAGGTGCCTTATACATGGGCCATGAGGAGGACAGGAGAAGAGATCGATTAAGATCTTACTTTGTAGTTTGCCTGTTCTTGGACTTTTATCAGTAATCTGATAATGAATATTGTTCACAGAAACCTACTATGTAGTTTTCCCTTACTAAATTGATTTAAATAAGAAATTTACATTTTTAAAGACACCTCGTTTATTCATTTATTTACCAAACCATTGTGTAGATTTATTGCACCTTTAAGTCAAAATATTTATCATCTGTGACCCAGAAAATTCCTCCTATTTTTCTAGGAGGTAGGAAGAGGAAAAAAACACAACCAAACAGAGGTTAGACTTTGAAGTGTTAGAGCCCAGAGCCCAGAGACTCTCTATGCAGACACTCGGCTCATGTTTGCTGTTCAGGAAGACTCTGGTCTAAAGGCTATTTTTCTGGGCTAGATTTTCCATTTCAGGATCAGGTAGAGAGGGCAGTCCTGGGATCCAAGGGTGGTGGTTTAGGATTAGGCCCACTTCTTGGTGACATTGGGATGACTGAGCTGGTCTCCCACCAGTCCATGTGGGGGAAACTTGGAAGTGCTGGCGCTTTGATGGCCATGCTCCTGCTCAGCAGGGAGGTAAGCCAGCAGTGGTTCTCTGCCTCCATCTCCAGGTGCTGGATCATGTCCTGCTTCGCCATAAAAGACATGGTGCGTGCGCTGCTGCCCTTGCTTCCCGATCCACTGGCGCCCAAAATGATTGCAGCAGGGGAGGGGGGTTAGGAGCCTGGCGCCCATTGCCAGCCCCAGCTGCCCCAAGTGTCTGTACTCTCGGAGACACCACGCTCAGGAAAGCACCTGTCTCATGAAACCTCCCCTCCCTCGCCAACCTTTGATTTTCTACTGACCAATAAGCAGCTTAGAAATTTTCCCAACCAACCAGTAAGCTTCCTTTATAGCTGTCAGTCCAAAGTAATTTTGGCAAAACCCATGGAGTCTGATCCCAGAAGTCTCAACTGAAAAGTGAGATTAGGAGAAGAGGCCAGCAAATTTAGAGGAGGAAGGAAAGGCCTCCTTGAAGTGGAGAACAATCTCTACAGCTTATTCCACGGCCCATTTTTATAGTGCCTGGTAGATGCTGAATTAGTTGTCTGATTAAACACATAAAAAGAAGAAAACACCAAAATCTAAATTACCCACGACCTGATTCCAGATATTTGCTGGAATTCCTTACACAGATGCAAAGATCAGATCCACAAAGCTATTTGCACAGTGAAGGAAAAATACAGAGAACAGGGCCTCCCTTGTGGTACAGGGGTTAAAGTCTCAACACTTTGAAGCTACCCCAGCCACTACAGCCTGAGTTAGATCCCAGCCCAGGGAATTACCCACATGGCACTGCAGGTCTCTCCTGTCTTACCTGCTGCTCCTGCAGGGAAAGTGATGGGAGCTTCTTCCTAGACATAGGTTTGTAGCTAGAGGTCCACCACTCAGTGGTGCTTTCAGAAGAAACAAATATGGCACCTCCCATAATTTTTTGAACCAAATCCCTGGCTTCCAAAAATAAATGGGAAACTCAAATACCAAATACAGATACCAAATGTTTCCCAATTCCCACTCAACCGAGCTTAACACACCAACAGCCTCCCAAATTGAGGGAGACTCAGATCCCTCCCAAATGTGTGAAGGCGAAGGTCTTAGCGTGCACGCTGGGGGAATTTACACCAAATGCCAGGGGACCACAGTTTTCCATCCAGTTTCCTTCTCAAAGGTGAATCCATGGGTCTGAGCCAAGTTGTGCCTCTCCCAAGGAGGGCATGGGAAGTTCCCAAGAGGAAAAAGTCGGCAGCTACAGGTACTCTCCCTCATCCTCCTGGAAGAAGGGTGCTCCCTTTCAGCAGGAAGGTCAGGATGCCACCCAGGATGCCCACGCCTCTCTCTGACAGCTGGACTGGTAAGCCCAGGCATGCTGCCATGGCAACTACTCGATCCGTTGGAAGTCAGAGTTGGGATTGGGAAAGCCAGGGTGGTGTCCAGCGCCTGGCTCTGCCGCGCCAAATTGATACTCAACACTGGTCTCAGTTTCTCTCAGCCAATAAAAGGAAACCATTTGAGGAAAAGGAAAATAAACAAACTTGTTAAATGCAGGAGATAAGGATGCCCATGTGGTGCCAGCAGGAACAGAGAACTGTCCTACGGTCACCTGTCCTATAGCATCATTATTCCTCAGGAAAACACAAAGTCCAGGCAGGGGTGAAGTCAGCCCGGCCCCTGCTGGAGCAGACAAGTCATCAGGGAAAGACACAGGTCAGTGTGGGGAGGGTCCTGGTGGGCAGGGCTGGGCCAGTCTCCCACCTCCTCATATTATGCTAATAGGAGCACAGACACACAAGGATGCTCTTTGCAACAAAAGAAACCAGGGGATCTTGAAGTCATGATGGGTAGATGAGAAATCCTGTATCACTCCGTCTGCAGAGGGCAGTTATTTCACACTGTAAAAGAAAATATCACAAATTCTGGAATCTCATATGTGTCGACACTGTCAATGTTCTACCGCATCCTCAGAATGTCCCCCTCACATCTTCCCCATAACCTGGTCCCATCCTCTCTGCCCCAGCCCCTCACACCGCAGGCCTCCAGGGTCTCACCTTCAGCAGATGTGAGAGACACATCAGAGCCCTGGGAACTGTCGCTGCCTGGGGTAGAACAAAACAGAACCTAGTTAGAGCCACGGAGAGATGAGACCACAGGAGGGACTGATGGGGGTGACTCCCCCATGGGCTCCATCTACACTGTCCCCAGGGCTCAGGGACCAAACCCTTGATGCACACTTACCTGCAGCCTGAGTGTAGCTTCCTCCTTTTCCACCTGTGGGAAGAAACATCCTGTAAGAGCACAAAGGAGTAGGGCTATGAAGTCTTAAATGAATCCCCTAGTCTGGGCCACAAGGAAGTTTACAAAACTGTGCCTAAGGACCCAGGACAGGATCAGGAAATATGAAGAAAGGTGATAAAGGGAGACTGGAGTAACCACCTCCTGGAGTCTGTCCTCAGCAGGGACCTTCCTCTCTGACATTTGCTGGAGTCAGGGCCCTTCACCAGAATTGTCAAGGTGAACAGGTGGTGATTAATTTTCATAAGTGCTTTACAAAAGAGTGAGGGTTAGCAAACAGCTCCAGACTGCGCAATACAGTATGTGGAAGGTACTTCCCATTACTAGACAGGCCAAGTTCTCCCTGGTACTTGATAGCCCCCGGTGGACAAGATCCCCCACTCCCTTCCCTACCTGAGCGCTTCTTCCTCCACATCACAGCTGTAGCCACTGCAGCTCCAGTGAGCACAGGTCCAAGGAGAACCAGGCCAGCAATGATGCCCACGGTGGGGATGGAGGACTGAGGAGGGGGCACTGGAAGGGAAGGGAGAGTGAGGCTTGTCACCCAGGCCTCCATCCAGAGCCAGGTGAGGTTCTTCAGAAGGGCTCCTGATTCCTCTGTGCCCACATTCCCTCCTTACCCCATGTCAGAACTCGGGGCTCCAGTAGCCCCTCATGCTGCACTTGGCACGTGTATCTCTGCTCCTCTCCCGAAGGCACCACCACAGCCACCCACTTCTGGAAGGTTCCATTCCCTCCAGGTCTGGTCTCCACCAGCATCATGTCCTGGGTCAGGTCCTCCTCATCTCGCTGCCAGGTCAGGGTGATGTCCGCAGGGTAGAAGTCCAGGGCCCAGCACCTCAGGGTGACCTTCTGGTCAGAGGTGGGGTGGTGGGTCATCTGTGTCTTTGGGGCATCTGAGGAGAAGGGTGAAAACATTCACATTTTGGGTTTTTCCTTCACGGAGACTGAAGAGCCTCATGTCACCAGCCTCAGAATAGACAGGGTAATGGGTTTGAAGAGGAAGCACAAAACCTATAAACCAGCCTGATCTGGGGAGTCGGATAGGAAGAAGCAGGAAAGGAAAAAGCAGGTCTCCAAAGAGGAGAACACAGACTTATGCTCCTGACCTGGGGACTCAAAAAAGCAGGAGTCAGATCTGAAAAATGTTAATTAGACCAAAAACAAGACATAGTGAAAAACTGATGGTCCCCAAGATGGTCACCAGGTCAAAAGGATCCAATGAAGGGTGATTTCAGGGACGGCTCCCCTCCAGCTCAGGAGAGACTGGATTCCTTAACTGTCCTTCACAAAAAGTAGGGCCCTGTGGGCGAGTCTTTCTAGCACAGAAGAGGAAACCCATGAGGCCTCCCTCTCTGACCAGAAAAGGTCTGTTTGTTTGTTTGTTGTTTTTTAAAGATTTATTTATTTATGCACACAAGACCCTGGGTACAGGCCAGAGGTGGGGAGGGGGGTGGTGGTGGTGAGAGGACTCACCAGAGACAGAGCAGGGAACAGAACAGGCTGATTGACTGCAATACACTGTTGACAGGAACAGTGGGCAAGACAGTAGAGGTCTGCTGGGCCATGTGGGTCACCTCCCTGGGGGGCCCAGTGCTGTGCTTAACCCCTTAGGCCGCCAGGGAGGCCCCAGAAAGAGGTCTGTGTTCTAATCATTACTCCATTTTCCCCTGGGGTGTCAGCCTGAGGGAGAGCTGAAGCCATGGAGGCCTTGCAAGGTCCCTCTTACTTGAAAGCTTCAGCTTCTCCCTCCAGTTTTCCATGTATCTGAGCAGCGAGTCCACGCACGGCCCCTGTAGGTAGTTCCTGCAGCGCTCAGTCTCTCCCGCCGCCTCCCACTCGCGCCGGGAGATCTGGGCGGCCGTGTCCGCCGCGGTCCAGGAGCGCAGGTCCCGGTTCAGGGCCAGGTAATCGGCGCCGTCGTAGGCGAACTGATGGTACCCGCGGAGGAGGCGCCCGTCGGGCCCCACGTCGCAGCCGTACATCTCCTGGAGGGTGTGAGAGCCTGTCCCCGCCCGCGTCAGCCTCACCGTGGCCATCACCGCGCTCGCGCCCGCGGGGAATAAACCTCAACCTCAATTAAAAACGACCGCAGGGAACCACGTCCTGCCAGCTCGTCCCCCACCAGCCTCAGGGTATCGCTCCGATGCGGGGTCTGGGGTTACTCCCCCTCCGGCCCGGGCAGCTCACCCGCCTCGCTCTGGTTGTAGTGGCCGGGCAGGTGGAGCAAGTTCGCTCGCAGAGTCTGTGCGTTGTGCTTCACTCTCCGCGTCTCCCCCTCCCAGTACTCCGGCCCCTCCTGCTTCGCCCAGGGCGCCCGCGGCTCCATCCTCTGGCCCGGGGAGTTGTTGTCGAAGCGCACGAACTGCGTGTCGTCCACGTAGCCCACAGCGATGAAGCGGGGCTCCCCGGGGCCGGGCCGGGACATCGCGGTGGAGAAATACCTCAGGGAGTGGGAGCCTGGGGGCGGGAGGGAGACCCGGGCTGGGGAGACGGGGCGGGAGAGAGGGGCGTCGAGGGGGCTCCTGAGAGTGTTAAGGGGCGGGGGGGACTAGAAGGGCGGGAATCTGGGGGCCAGAGGAGGCGGGGTAGGGGAGGGACAGAAAGGGTCCTGGGCGGGGTTGAGGGGGACACCCGGGCCGGCAGCGGCGGAAACGAGCCTCTACCGGGTCCAGAGGCGCCGCTGCTGTCACCCGGGGGCCCCGGGCTCCTCAGCGGCGGTTTCCCTCCCGACCCGCACTCACCTGCCCAGGTCTCCGTCAGGGCCAGGGCCCCCAAGAGCAGCAGCAGGAGGGTCAAGGGCCCCATGGCCCTCACCTACTCGGCCAGAGACGATCGCGCGCGCGAACCTGATTGCTCTGAAAACCCTCCAGGCAATGGGGAGAGAGAACTGGGGTGAGTCATAAGTCCAGGCCTGAGGGCCCCACTCAGGTGAGAGGGAGGAGTGAAACTGCAGGGAGTTGTGGAATCCTCAACGGTAACCTTCATGCCCGGGACACCGCCCTGGGGTTCAAGACCTGAGAGCCACACCCGGGACCTGGGACTTTGCCCTGCACCCTCCCCTCTGCACCCAGACCTTTGTCCTGGCCCTGGGACTGCCTCACCCATTCTCAAACATTTTCCTTTCAGTCTTACAAATTCCCAAGGACCCCCAAGTATAATTTTATGCAGATAAAAGTACCAGTCTTCACCATACAAGGAATAAAATCATTTAAACATCTTTTTATTTCATATTAACAGATTATTAATAATCCATTGCATGTTAACTGTTTTAAAGCCAAATAACTTTCTGAAAATCATCATGGTAGTGAGAAGTGGATCTTTTACAGTTACAGTTTTACAAGTGTCTTCTCTGTCTCATTAGAAGTTGGATTGTCATATTTTCTTTTGCATTTAGTCTGTTGTTTTGGTCAGTCAACGCAAAAATATACAGCCTGAAAGAAATGTGTAGGAATAGCATTTTATAATCTTTTAGGATAATTGTGAGTATTCAACTTTGTTACACTTTGATAATAAACTGAAACTGTACAAGTAGTAGTTTTTCACATGTTATTTGCAAAGAGAAACCTTATACACTATCACTGAATATTTTCTATTCTATTACATTAATTCTGTAGACCTCTCTTGCATATTAATGTGCTGGAGACCAGCTCCAGCTAGAAGTCGTGTCAGGGATCTCAGAAAGGAGAGGACGGAGTCGGTGAAAGTTCTTTTTTCTCCTTCTCTCAGAGGGCTGAGGGGAAGTGGAGCGAGGTAGGAGTGAGGAAGACACAGACACCTTATTTCGTGCAAGTATCTCCTGCTGAGGGTCTCAGCGGGTCTTTATTTATACCTTAAGGCAAGTGGTGGGATTACATCAGTGTAAGCATTGAGGCAGAACAGAAACAATGCATATTTTCTCATGAACATGCAAAGACTCCCTAGGTCTCACACCTAAAGGGCAAGTCTGATAACCTTAAGATCAATTAGTTTCCTAGGTACAGCTCATTTACTAGCATGATCAATCATATATGACAGCACAACATTTGTCAGCAATTAAACAAACGTTCCCAGTTATAAAGTGGGTGTAAAATTCCTATTCTATATTCAATTACTAAAATCAATCTATCTCCTAGCACTCAATCAACTCGGTTAATATATTGGTAACTTCAAAGTGGTCTGAAACAGTTCATCAAATTTAAGTAAGTTCTACTGAAGTCTAACTCCTAACTAGAAATTCCTAACCTCCACACGGCCTGCGAACTATTGATCTCTTGCAAACACCAGGAAAAGTACTGCTGCCAGGAAATGTACTGCTGCCACAAATATGCACCCCCGCCCCACCCTGTGTCAGGCTATGGCTTCCAAGCACAGCTGGTTCAGGGCAGCTTGTTCTGCATAGTTCTTGGGGCCAGAACATTTCTTTCTTAGCTATACCTTTTGCATTATTTACTTTCTTTGATACTAATTCAAGTGTAAGAATAACAAATCAATAAACGTCTAGGTCCAAATTGGGTTTTCATATGCCAATTAATGACTAACTTCTGCATTAACCAAGAACAAAGAGGAGAGCTTTAGCAGGCATTGCCATGGAGACTCCCTAGTTCAGATCTTTGGGAAGTGTAAGAACTCCCCTCTTCTGAGAAGCACAACTTTCCCTCTTCTGGGGAGCACAGGAGCTCCCCGCTTCTCAGGAGTCTCCCTCAATGCCCAGACCATGTCAAGAGACAGCATGGGAGGTGCAGCCTGCCGCATTAATGGCTCTTAACTAATATGATTTTTAAAAGTAATACATTATTTCACTAGGCTATATGATCACTATGTTTATTATTGCAAAATCAAATTTTAAAAATCAAATATTTTATATTCCAAAGATCCCAAAGGAAAAAATAGTTGGTACAGGAAGTTGTCAAGCTTATAGTGATGGGACACAATTTTCTAATACCTGGTTTTCCCTTGGGTTTGCATTTCATCAAGGCAATTAATTACTATCAATTGTCAACTGTCAGTAGATTTTCTTTTTTTTAAGATTTATTTATGCAGACAAGTACTGGGGACCAGGCCAGAGGTGTGGGGGGTTATGTGTGAGAGGATTCACCAGAGACAGAGTGGGTAGCAGAACAGGCAGACTGACCGAAATACACTGCTCAGGGGAGCAGCAGGCAAGACAGGAGAGGTCTGCTGCTCCATGTGGGTCACCTGCCTGGCTGGGGATCAAACTCTGGTAGATAGCTTCATAGTGCTGATGCTTAACCCCTTGTACCACCAGGGAGGCCCCTGTCAGTGGGGGACAGATTCACATTCAATTTCTAGAAAGTGCCTGCAAGTTAACTAAATCTATATAATGTTTTGTCATTCACTCCTTCAAATAAAGATGGTATTACCTAAAAGAAAGAGTCTGTTTAACCTCATACAAATTGTTTTTCTTGGAACACAGTACTTTAGGTTGGAGCAGAAGGGATTTATATGTACTGAACTTACTTTATTTCTCTCAGGCAAATTCTTTCCCTCAGGCTTGAGGAGATGCTTCCCTGCTTTCCTGAGCCTCCCTGTCCAGGGCCCCTGTAGGGGCAGGATGGGCACAGAGCAGTTTCTCTATGATTGGAGCAGACAGGATAAGGAGGAGTCCTGTAGCCCTTGGTGGATTTTGAAGATTTTTATTGGGATTTACCAGGTACACAGCAAGCAGGGGTGCCAGGAGGCTAGCAGGCCTCCTAGGCCCCGGCAAATCTTCACTCTTTATGGGCTCTTCGTTGTCTCTCATGGCTTTTGCTTCTCTGCTCTTCCCTGTGACGCTGCCCTTATAAGCCCAGTCTGTGAGCCCAGGTGTACCCACCTACACATGCCCACACCCCACTCCAGGTGCCCGCCATCAAGCATGCATTCAGGACCACAGGGATTCATCATCAATCCTAATGGCGGGAGGGCAGAAAAGTCTGACACTTTTTCACTTACCCTACAATCCACCCCCTCAGGGTTTTCTGCCAGACAGTCTATACAAATTATACACACGTTTCTCTTGGCGACTATGAACACTGCCATGGCCCATAAAAGTAAATAGTATACATCACAATATAACAACAAAATACAACAAAACACAAATAAGTCCAGGCAAGGCACAAACCTAATGGCAAAAGACAAGATTATTGGCACCAGCAGTTGCTCCACCAATTCTGCTGCAGAAGGCACTGCTCATACAAGGGAGAGGAACCAGTCAGTCATCTGCTGTCACACGCCAGGAACCATCAGGCTTCCTGGCCTTCTCTGGCTGTGGTCTCTGCCACAAGCCACACATCCCATCCACGCCCTGGATGCTCTCACTCTTGGATTGGTGATTCTGTACTCTTTGGGGGTAATCGCCCAGTCCTCAGGGTTTCTGTCTGCACTCGCTCCAACACTTGGCTTCCATAGCCACCAATGCAACTCACAGACCCCTCTACTCAGGCCAACCCACTGCACATGCACATGGGTCGGGGATCCATGGATACAAGCTCCACATGTGGCCTTTCTTGGGTCCCCTCTTTGGCTGTGGGCTCCACCACAAGCCACGTTCCCCACCCGTCCCCCAAGGACGGGTTCCTCAGCTCCTTACCCTCACTCAACGACAAACAGGGCATCACCCACAGGTGTTGTAAGAGACTCACTGGCCTTCTTTAACATACTTAGTGTAGGGTAAGGTAAAAAATCAGGCTTTTCTGCCCTCCCACCATCAGGATGGATGAGGGAACCCTGTGATCCTGAATGCATGCCTGATGGCGGGCACCTGAAGTGGGTACACCTGCACTAAGACTGTGCTTTTAAGGGCGGCGTCATGGGGACGCCAATAGAAGCTGAGAAGCAGCAGAAGCTGAAGGAGAAGCCGAGAGAAGGCCGGAGAGCCCACAGAGTGAAGACCTGCTGGGGGCTGGGAGGCCTGCCAGCCTCCCGGCCCCCCAGCACCCCTGCCTGCCATATGCCTGGTGAACCCCAATAAAAAACCTGCAAAACCACTGAGGACTCTGACTCCTCCTTTACCCAGTCTGCATGGGATTAGAGAACCTGCACTGTGTCCAGTCCTGCCCTTTTTCTCTGCCTGGCTGCAGAGAACTTGGCGAGGGCTTCCTCCTTCAGCCAAGTGTGGGCTCTTCTACCAAGACTCACTGGCCATGCCTTGCTTTTCATCCCCTGGGGTTTACAAACGATACCATCCACTCCCAGGGTCCCCAAAATCATAACATCAACTTGCCAAGGTTCCTCAGCCTTCTGGCGGGATTGTCAGTCCAAGTCCATTAGTCCAAGTCCATCCATTTTTTCCTTGCCTTAACACTGGTGAGCTCCGAATCGTGGTCCTTTCTTCCCTGACAATTTTGCTGCCTCAGGGGTTGTTGGCTGGCCCTCTCGCTGTCTCCTCATGCAGGTGAGGTCTCAGTCCCACTACTCCTGGACCTTTTCCACTTCCTGTGCTGCCATGACACCTCCAGCGTTGTCACAGCCTCAGCCTGCTGCTCCGCAGTCCCTCCTGAGGTCTTCTGAGGGCTCCACACCCATCTGCATTGAATCATCTTGCCAACTTACATCAATTGTAGTGACAGGAAGGGCTCAGAGGAGGTTCTCTAAGATTCTATGCAAACCAGTGAAGAAGGAGTGAGTCCTGGAGCCCTCAGTGTCTTTTTCAGGCTTTTATTGGAATTTGCCAGGTACACAGCAGGCAAGGGTGCCGTGTACACAGTAAATCCAAATAAAAGTCTGCAAAAGTCACCGAGGGCTTCAGGACTCCCTCCTTCACCCGTCCACAAGGATCATCGAAACCTGCTCAGTGTCCCCTCCTGCTGCTATACCCACAGAGCCCAGGAAGAGTGAAGATT